GGTGTGGGCTGTGCCCGCTCACACCCGCCCCCCCATCGTGTGCTCAGTTCCTCCAGCAGTACCACCACTACCAGTCCCATGTGGAGATCTTCTCCTTCCAGCCGGACAAGCCCAGTAAGGAGCTGGCGGAGCTGGTCATGTTCCTGGCACAGGTGAGCCGCAGCCGTGGCATCTGGGTCCGGAGCGGAGCAGGTCCTGCCGAGTGTGTCGCGCTCTGTTTTGCGGGGACAGCCTTGGCGGGGTTGCCCTAAAACTGCGTTTTCTCCCAGATTTTGCAGCGGGGTTGTGTTTTTCCGGAAATACAGCTTTTAGTTTTGAGCTTCGGTTCAGTTTTTTAAGAGTTTGTGTTAAATTGCACTATAGCTGTTGACAACTGGGCATGGATCATAACTTACTTTTCATTGTGTGTATTGAATAGTTATTTTAAACAATTATACTTTTTTGGGTTGCTTACAAGATCTCACACTGACCCAGGGTTATGGGGTGGCCCCAAGATTCTCCTAGTGAGCTCAGCTGGCTCTGTCTCTGCCCAGGTTGCCCACTGCTACCCAGAACACATGGCCAACTTTCCCCAGCAGCTGAAGGAGCTGCTCTCCTACCACCATACTGTCCTGGATGTAGACCTGCGCATGGTAAGTCCCACACCAAGAGGTGTTTTGGTGTCCTGTGGTTAAAATAAGCTGTTGGTGTGTGAGATTAGAGCTTATGGTTTGCTTTTTAATTGTTAATGAAGATGGAAACTGGAGGGTGTTATGAAATTTTGGTTCTGATTGCCTGTTTCTCTTTCACAGACCTTCTGTAAGGCATTGATCTTGTTAAGAAACAAAAACCTAATAAATCCAACAAGTTTGCTGGAGCTCTTCTTTCAGTTGCTGAGGTGTCATGATAAGCTACTACGAAAAGTAAGCTGTGCTGAAAAAAATTTTCTCTCTTTTCCTTAGTAAACAAGTTAAAAATAGCTGTTGTTTTTCATCATCTGACTGTGCCAGAGGCAAGACTTGATCTCTATGTTGGGTTAGTCAATGAGGCATGTTGCTGTAACCATTTTTACCATGCTGTGGCACTGCTGTCCTGTGCTGGGGACTGAGCAGCTTGTGTGTCTCCAGGTGAAAGCCATGAAGGTGGAGCTCTGAGACCAGCCTGAAATGGATTCTTGGTGAGAATTCTTAATTGCTGAGCTGGCAATTAAAAGCCACACAGGTGCTTGCTCACCTGCCCCTATTGCTGGGGAATGGGGGAGAGAATTAAAGAGGAAAAGGGACGGAGGCTTGTGAGTTAAGTACAATATAATAATAACATATGAGGGTACATATGGATAATATTAAACAAACAAGTCTTGCTCAGTGTAATTGCTCACCACCTGGTGACCAAGGCCTGTGCCATCCCAGCAAGTGATCCCAAACAGGTAAGTCTGGGCACTGCAATCCTAGATTGCGTGGAGAGGCCCAAAAACCAACAGGTGAGTCTGGGCACCGCAATCCTAGATTGCGTGGAGAGGCCCAAAAAGAGACAGTGCCTTCGGAACACAGTCCTGGAAGAGCCAAAGCTTTTCCTAGTCAGCCCTCATGTCTATACTGGGCATGGCGTTGCGTGGTCTAGAACGCTCTGTTGGCCAGTTTGGTGTTGCGTGGTATGGAATGCTCTGTTGGGCAGTTTGGCCCTCAATCCCCACTCTAAGCTCCACTCACAAGGGGAGCTGTGGGCTCCTGGTCCTGGCTAAGCTTTCCCTCAGCTGGTTGTGCTCCTGCATGCTGACAAAACCAAAGCTGCTGAAAAGTCCTTGAGGTCTCATGACCAAATACCAACAGCAGTGTGCTATCAACATTTTTTTCAGCAAATGCCAGACTGCAGCTACAAGACAGAGCTCTGCTAGCTGCTAAACAGAAAAACTATGTCTGTCTCAGTCAAAACCAGGATAAAACTAGACCAGCTACGATATTTCAGGTTTTCTGCCATATAAGTTGAAATACTTGCTTTCTGCTACCAGAATTACTAAACTGTCCAGCAGAAGGTGCCTGAACAAAACAGGCATTTAAGGATGGGGTATTTTTTTTGAAGCCTTATTTCATGCTGTTCATTTTGTTGCCTCACTCTTTGTACTGTAAATTAAGTACACTTGACAAATAACTCAAAATTAAGCATATTTGAGAAGTTACAGGATAACTTCTTGTTGTTTTTCAGCTGTAACATATGGGTGGTGATCAGTTTGGTCTGTTTCAGTTATTTGAGGCTTTGGGGGAACTGGGACATATCTGCTTTGTTTTCTGCATGTCTTAGTGGTTATTCTCTGATTTTTCCATTTGCAGACTTTATATACTCACATCGTGTCGGACATCAAGAATGTCAATGCTAAGCACAAAAATAATAAAGTAAACACAGTAAGTGGTTGAGCTTTCAGATATATTTCCATGTAACCCCTTGATGCTGTTCAAGACTTGTGATAATAAAAGTTTCCAAACTTCTTTCTCAGACACTGCAGAATTTCATGTATACGATGTTGAGAGACAGCAATCCCACTGCTGCCAAGATATCTCTAGATGTGATGATAGAACTGTACAGAAGGAATATTTGGTAGGTCTGGCAGGCTTGTGTTGATTCCTTATTTATGATGGAGCGGCCTTCTTGAGGTCACTCGTGGCACCTAGTGCAAAAGGTTATATTGAGGGGCTGTGACCTAAAAATATTTTGTCTTGGGGCTGTGTTTTGTGGAATGTTATTTAATTGGTAAAAAATACTGTCTTTTATGTAATGTCAAAGTTATTTAGGTTTCATCTTCGATGTTTTGGTATGAAAACAGAGTGTAAATTTCAAGTGTTGCATTGGAAAGAAGCGGTGTGCAGCTTGATTTTTTTGAGCTTTTGCACATGAAAGCTGCCAGTGTTGGCGTATAGGTTGTTGTGTACAACAGGAAGAGGACTCTTAGGGTTTTTCTGGTTGTCTTCACTCTATAAGGTCATTCTAGAAGACTGATCTAATGGATCCTTGGAGTTTGGGGCTTTTTGGGTCAAGCTATACTACAACTCATATTTTTAGTAGATAGCAGCCTGAAAAATTGCTGTCTAGCTAAGTACTGAAATGAGTAAAAGCACCAGTAGTGCTGTCAGTTCCTGTCTCATATCTAATAATCTTGTGTTGTGTTGCAAAATGCTGGAGCAGATGTGACCCAGCAGTAAAACACATGAGGAGATGGTACTCTACTTGCTTTTTGACTGTGAATACACATTGAAGACTTAAAAGCTGTTCAGTGTGTAACTCCTTTTCTCTTCTTTGTTATTGCACAGAAATGAACTCTAAAAAATGCAACAGGTGATGCTGCTGGTGAGCAGCATGTTTGCTGCTTACACATCTCGAAAATGAAATAGAATAGGTTATGACAAGGGAGAGAAAACAGACTCCTGAAAGATAGTGTTGCTGAAAAGTTAAGACTTGAGCAATTTTAGTAAGTAGGTTTGTAAGTATGTGAGATTTGGTGTAAAAAAACATTAATTCCTGCGGCTTTATTCCTTAGGAGTTTTGAGAGCATCAACTATATAGTTGATTTTTCTAATACAAGTTAGAGTTCTGAAATAATCTTTTTGTTTGTTTACTTGACAGGGAGTTTATTGTTTTTATCAGTAAACTGGTAATCTTTCAGTTATATTACTGGAGGTTCTTCTTAGTGTCCCTGGAGTCACATCATGAACTATATAGAATGCAAGTGTTAATTTAGATGAAGCTACTGCTTTGTTAGAAGGAAAAAAGAAAAAGACAGAAGCTTAAGTTTTTTGTTTGCAAATCTACTTGGAGCATTAAGAGACTCTATGGTGATGAAGCTACCTGATTGTTAGGAGTCACGTTTCATGAGACTTGGTTTTCTGAGAATGACTTGACATGGCCAAACTAAGTAAAAGGTGATATTTTGGTTTATTCCAGGAACGATGCCAAAACAGTAAACGTCATCACAACTGCCTGCTTTTCCAAAGTGACAAAGGTGAGAACAGAAATGGATTGATGAAATGGGATGTTACTGAAGCTGTTTTTCCTGTGCGCTCAGCTGGTCTTTTCAGTACTTTGATTGCTAATGGGCTTCATTGATGAGGTGTCTTCTGCTTGGATTATTTTCAAAATGCTGTTTCTGTTGTGAGAGGAGGTGGCATTTGGTGCTTAGGTACAGAGCAGCAGAATTGCAAGCGTGTGCAGGCTGGTGTGGGGAGGGTATGTGTGCTTTCTGCTGTTGCCCAAAGAGACTGTCAGAATATCACCTCTTTTTGATGAGCACGGGAAGGCTTTAATTTGTTAAATGTCAAGAGAGCTGGTATCCTGCCTGGGGCTTGAGTGGATCTTAGGCCTTGTCATCTCTGTCAGTTCTGCAGTGCTGGAGGCTTTGAACACTTAGGTTACGGTTTGAGACAAGGTATTCCACTATGAAGGTCCAAAAGCTGTTACTTGGAATAAAAAACAACCAACAAAAACCTAAAAAAAAACCACCAAAAAGCACCTCACAAACAAACCCATGTAAACTAATACAAGTTTAGCCTTTGAGCACTGCCTTGGTTGTCAGCTGTGCATGTGTTGCTGATGAGAATGGGCTGCAGAAATTGACTGTGTGTCTAAAACACCTCTGGTTTTCTGTTTAATTTGTTTTGCTCTCTGTTTGAATCCATACCTAAAAAAAATTATGAGCCTTTGCATAACCTACGATGTGGATGTAGGGCTGTGCTAAATATTCTTGTCAGCTTGTCCTATCTTGCATAAGCCTACTTTGCTTTTCAGGTGTTAGTTGCTGCTTTGAAGTTCTTCCTTGGGAAGGATGAAGACGAGAAACAAGACAGCGAATCGGAATCTGAGGTGGGTGTTGTGATAAAATCTCTCTGGTTTTGAGACTCTTAGCAGGTCTGGCATCCTAGCAACCCTGACTCCGCCAGTCTGTCTGCCTCTGGGCTACTTTGTTTTACATCCTGTTTTCTCCAGATGTTCCTACACTTCACGAAAAGTTCAGTGGTTTTGACAGCTGTCTCAAATTGACAGCAGAATGGCTTTACTGCCTGTCTAAAGACTAATGCAAAGAGCTCCTTGGCTTTCCTGTTCTCCTTCTGAAGGAATAACTTCACTGGGAAGACATAAGCAGGGACTAGTCAGTCTGGTTCATGAATACACAAATGACTAGAAGTGGAATGCAGAAGTGTGGGAAGAGACTTTCACCTGGTGTATTGGAAGCTGGTTTAATTCTTTAGCTGTCTGTTTTTACTTTTGTTTTCCTTTTTGTCTTCCATTTCCCTTTTATGGACAAATGAACATAAATCAGTTAGCTTGAGAAGGCTGATAAGCTAATAGGATTTGAGTCTAGAACCTCGCAATACAAGATAGCAGTATTTGTCTGACTGCAAAATACTCTGTGCTTAAGCAGCTGTGCCAACTCCTGAGTTGATGTGTTGTTAAGTGTTGGTGATCTCTCTTGCATGTAGGTAGCTAGTTTTATGGAATTGGGATTTGAAGTGCTACTGGTTTTGTATAACGAAGTTTAGGGAGAGTTTTCACTTAAGAGTACATAATCCTGAAAAACATCAATACCGTTGATTTCTGATTGCTGTTTTGAAGCCTGATGTCACTTGAGTCTTGTTTTCCTTTCTGTCTCAAGGACGATGTTCCCACAGCCAGAGATCTGATGGTACGGTATGCAACTAACAAGAAAACTACCAAGCGAAAGAAAAAACTGGAAAAAGCGATGAAGGTTCTCAAGGTGACTAGAATGGCATCCAACTTCCTAGTGTTTTTAGCTTCATCCTTCAAGAGCAGAAGACATGCTGTTGCCCTGTCATCTTTGCTAGCTTTAGCTATCTGTTCTAGGTACAGGTCCTCAAGTGTTCTAGCATCAGTTGGCCAGGCGTAATGCCATGTTTGCCTGGAAGAGAGCTGTTTTGAAACAGACTTGGAGTCTAAGTTGGGGTTGAGTTCTGCTTTGGGTACCCTTTGTGTGGTCCCCTGCTTTGAAGTATGTAGTGTCCTGATAAATTAGTTTTTAAAGCAGCTCCTGTTGCTTCAGGTGGCAGAAAACTCAATGCAGTTGAAAAGAGTGGTAGTTTACTTGTTAGAGTCCAAGTGCCTCTTCTTCAAGTGAAAAATAGCAAATAGCTGCTTTTAGCACCAGCATGAAACTGCAGCCTTTGAAGCTTGTTTCATGGAAACAAGAATTTCTCTCACTCTTTTTGCCATGCAGAAACACAAGAAGAAGAGCAAGCCAGAGGTGTTCAATTTCTCTGCTATTCACTTGATTCATGATCCCCAAGGTAAGCATGCGTTGTTTCTATCTTTTTTCAAGGTTGTTTAATCCCTGACACTGAGGTTAAGACAGAACTTTCCAAGGAGAATGATAGTAATGAGTAGATACAAATGAGACTGTGAGATGCTCCTAGTGTGTGTTATCCTAGAGTCCTGTAGCACTCCAAAAAAGGAAGATCGATCCTGTTGTGCTTGTCATGGTGGAGCACTTGCACATAGTCAGACAAGGAACAAGCAATACTAGGTCGTTGGCTTTCGGTTGCTACAGATTGGGATGTGGCTCTCTACCTCTTGGATGTGTGGAGGCTGTAATTTGTGTGACAGAGGAGTAGTTTATCTACTAAAACTTAGATGGCTTAGCCCCCTTCAAAAATGTGTTCCTATTACTAGTTTGTTTGTCTCGTATCACTCTACTTGGTCTTAGTCTGATCTAGTGAACTTCAGGGGATTTCATTTTTCAGATGAACCCAAAAATTATATATTAAAAAAATCTAGCTTTAAATACTGACCCTGTGTTTATGATGTTGTGGAACCTCTGAGTTTACCTCTGTGCTGAACCTGTGCACAGCTTTAGACTTTCTAGGCCTGTGAAGAAAAGTAACCCACTAGGAGTAGTGCTCTGACCACCTTTAATTTCTTCTGTACAAGGGCACTGGGGCTCTAAAAAAAACTTAGACCAAACTGACTGCCTTTTTTAACCTAATCCCAGCTGAGTTCTGCTTTGTGTTGTTCAAGTCTACCACTAATCTATTACTGTTTCCTCCAGACTTTGCAGAGAAACTGCTGAAACAGCTGGAGAACTGTAAGGAGCGATTTGAAGTGAAGATGATGCTCATGGACCTCATATCTAGGCTAGTTGGAATACATGAGGTAGATAATTTTGTAATGGTCTGGTGGTAGCCAGCCTGGTTTGGGTGGATTGGTGTGCTCTGGCGTTAGACCTCTGGCTAATGAGGTTTAAATTTGATGTATGTGGAAAGTGCAGGTGTATGGTCAGGTACACTTGCCAGTGGGCCTCATGGAACGGCGCAGTGCCGGAGTGCTTGTGTGGTACTGAGTAAACTCTGCTGGAGAACACTGTTGGTCTGGAATAGCTGGGATGTCTCTAAGAAGTAGGGGAAAATGTCTTGTTCAAGACCTGCGTGCTCCTGGGAGATTATTGAAAGAAGGACTTGGAAAAGCAGTCCTCAAAGGTACTCTGAGATATGGCCCAAGTGGGATCAAAATGACTGGAGTCATGTTCTGGTTTGGCAGAGAACGTGTGTCCTCAATGCAAAATCAATTGGCACGTTGTAGGATGGCGTAGCAGAATGCCCTGATTTGAATTCTGTGCAGCGTAACAAGAACTATCCTCGGGATTTTACAGCTTGTAGGATAGAGCCTTGTATTTCCTTTGTAAAACTAATTTCTTTATACCCACATATGTCAAGCTCAAGAGAGGAGGATGGCTCATGGACTGACATCGAAGGTGTTTAGAAAGCAAGCTGTGTAGAATCAATGTTTTAAAGCATGTCAGCCTATGAAGGTGATCTCAAGTTAAAAGACAAGAAGCTAATCTTGTACTAATTTCCTTCTTGCAGCTTTTCCTTTTTAACTTTTACCCCTTCGTTCAGAGATTCCTACAGCCCCATCAGAGAGGTAAGTAGCTACTAGTAGGTATCGCTGCTGGTCCATGTCATGTGAAAAGTCAGTTCTTACCAGTGATGCTGTAAAGGAATAGGTAGTGGAAGCTTAGTAGGAAGTAGGATTAGTCTAGAGAGTGTGGATGAAGCAAGAAGGAGGCCACAACTGCCAGAGGTGCAGAGGGCTTTAGACTTGGATGGAAGCTGTGTGCACTCGGTGCTCTTCACTTGGGCGTTTGAGGAACTCCAGCAGTGGAATCAAATGCGTCTCTGGAGTCCCTAGTTCCTTGCAAATCCTTACTAGTTGAGGCATGTGTGTTTGACAAGTGTTTCACTCAAGTTGTAGAGCATTTATTTTCATCTCAGCTGGCTGGTAATGGCCTGCACTGCTGCTGGGGTGGAGACCAGATTAGTTCCTAATCCTTGGTGGGAGAGTAGAAACTGTTGTCCCAAATAAATTCACGCTGAAATAGCTTTGAGACTTAGACTGAGCAGCTTGTTGAGTTAGTTTTGTTGGTGAGTGTGTTTATTGGCCAGACTAAGCTGCGACAATGAACTTAAACATCTCCTTTCCACTTTTTTTCCAGAAGTGACAAAGATTCTTCTGTTTGCTGCACAGGCTGCGCATCAGCTTGTGCCACCTGAGGTCAGTACTCCACCTAATTTGGTGATGTTAAAAATGGACAGCGAGCCAGCCTGGAAATATAAGTGAGTGCAGTCGTGGGGAGGGGGAAAAGGGAGTCTGGTAAAACCTTTTGTCTGGGAAAGCTTAGAGGAATTTTGCCTGCTTCTGCGAGTTTGAAGGGGTTGTTTTACATGAAGGGAGAAAATCCACCCGTGTCTGCTGTCCTCCTTCCTGCAAGAGAATTTTTGTCTAGAAGATATTGACAGGATATGATGACTAGTCCTGAGCCCTGTCTTTCTTTACGGGCTCTGTTGGTTAATTAATAATATGAAAAACTTTCACAGTTTTAAAAGTACACATTAAGGTTATTAAACCTTTTTTCTTGTTTTCAGATTATCCAGTCAGTGTTAATGACCATTGCCAACAACTTCGTCACCGACAAGAATTCTGGGGAGGTCATGACCGTAGGGTGGGTGCAGAATCTTGTGAAATCCATGTAACTCTCACTTAATGTGGAAAAATATTTTTCTTCTTTCAACCACCTCCAACTTAGTGGTGTCATTCACACTATTGTCTCACAGTATCTCAGCATAAATGTCCCTTACTGTTTTTGGGAGTGTTCTAAGTTCCTCAGAAGGATGAGTTGCTGTGCTTGGTGCTATGACTTGATTTCTCTTATATTCATGTCTTATTTTTTTAGAATCAACGCGATAAAAGAAATCACTGCGAGATGTCCCTTAGCCATGACGGAAGATCTGCTCCAAGACCTTGTTCAGTACAAGACTCACAAAAACACAAGTAAGTGAATTACATGTATGTTACTTGTAGATCTTGTTTCTCCTGTATCATCTGGTTCTCCATTGTTATAACCTTAATAATAGTGATGTCCTAATTGTTTTAATGTGGGCTGAGAGGCATCTTTTTCAACATGCCTCTTGTCTGTATTTTGAGTGTATGTACATAGGAGACAAAACAGCCAAGAGTAGTTATGGTAGCAGAACTCATGGACAAAACAGAACAACAGAAACGGCTTGCTATGAAGTTTTGGCCCTAAGGAGTAGCTGGATCTGCATTAGAGAAATCAGAGGGAGCTGTAACTTCAGAAAAGGCACGAGCAGGCTGCACATATTGATTTTTTCTGAGTGAGCTTTCAGTTTGCTCACAATTCTGCTTTTCTATACTTAATCTTGACTCTCTCTGTTTCTGGGTAGATGTGATGATGTCTGCAAGAACTCTGATACACCTTTTCCGTTCTCTGAATCCAGAGATGCTGCAGAAGAAATTCAGGGTGAGTGTTTGATGTGCTTTGTATTCACTATAAATGTAGGCTTATGTGCTCAAAAATGATGGTGAGAATTGGTCTCATCACCTCTTGAGAATGAGGTGGAATTACGCCCTTGTCCTTGTCCTGACTGCTCCCTTGCTGCCTGTTGATGTGCTGTGCTCTTATTTTGGGATTTCCTCAGTTGAATTTCATCAGATTCATGGACAGAAGGATTGTGCAACAGAAGCTTGACTATCTATGTAGAGTTGGTTCAACTTGTTAGTAATTTAATATCTTGGCTTATTTTACCAGGCAGAACTTGCCTTTTCCACCTGCACCCTCCTCTCCCCTAACTTTTTTCATGGATTTGTGAGCATTAAAATAGCAGCCT